AGTTTTCACGTCTCTTTAGTCTGTTATCATAAGATGACCTTGGAAAAGGATTTCTTTTATGACTAACGTCGAATGATAAAGTCACTTAAACCGTTTTAGAAGTTAAAGTACACTCGCCTTTAGAAGTTTCAGCATATCTCAAGACGTTTTAATTCCCTACCAATGAATTATTTCATTCAAGAATTTATAAATAAATATGTAACTAAAAACAGAGAAATTTATTCTACTCTTTACAGTTTATGGTTAACAGTAAGTGATATTTTTAAATAGAATGATGTATTCGTGATATTTTAATCGAATATTTTTAAACCCATATTAATATAATATGAAACTAGCCATAGCCACGGCTTTAATAATTTGTAAACAAAGTCCTGGTCGGCATTTCTATGGCTGCTTTTACATGTTAAATACGTTGTGCACTGAATGTAAATTCGAATTCAGACCTTGCAGAGAAGATTAGTTGTATGTCCTTGCGTGGATCAGTGAACCGAGAATGGTAAGAATGAATATAAATATAATGAAAAAAGTAATTGCAAATACATTTCGGGTAAAAAACTAATATTTAATTTATATAAAAAACCAAAAATTTATTTAATACCTTTATATTAACTACGTTTAAATGTAAAAAATAGTTCTTTTCAATAAAAAACATTTTATAAATTTAAAAGTTAGTATTCATCAATTGATAGCATCAGGGGTCTGCCCAGACATTATGTGAAAGGTCCGTTTTTCGTGAAATTGTGAAAAAATTACTCACATTCTTTCAAACAGGGTCCGCTTTTATGAATTTGTGCAAATAGGGTCCGTTTTTGCAACAAAAAAAAACTTTTTCAAGGAGTTTTTAAATTGTAAAGACATACAAGATTATGCTCAACACAGTAAAATTATAATTAAAAAAATTAAATTTTAAAAAATAAACAACAATTGCTGCTTCTGAATTAGAGATGCAACATACAAATATTTGGTATTTAGCCTATACTGCTGAACGCAGAATATTAATTTCGGACGAATAATGGAAGAATCGTCTGCCGAAGACAAAACTTAATTCGTTTACATCCATCTTTCTTGTTTTCTGCCCTGGAAAGGGTTTATTCGATTAACAAAATAATAATGAAGATAAACAAATTTGTGAAGGGTCCGATTAAAAGAAAAATCATTTTGTGAAGGGTCCGTTTTTAAGTTAAAATATTTTGTGAAGGGTCCGTTTTTATGAAAAGATATTTTGTGAAGGGTCCGTTAACGGACCCAAATTTCTTTTAAACAGACCCTTGAGCATAGAAATAAAAATATAAAAAAATTACAACAAAAAAAAAATAATAAAAAAAAAAAATACGAAAACAAAACTTATTACATTAATCAAACAAGTTTTTAGAAAAAATAGGCCTAAGTTTCCGAAAAATTATTATTTTTTAAATAAAGTTTGGCCGATTAATTATCATAAAACCATGTATTTAATTAACATTAAAAGTTTAAAAACACATTTTTAATGAGCACTACCTCCTTAGAATTGTACTTATTTTAAACTAAACAAGTAAATAATAACACATCTTACAACTGACATCTTTTAATAAAGATATTTTTCCAGAACTAGAACTGCGTAAAAAAGAATTAAAGTATAAGAAAAAAATTACTAAATGTAAGTAAAAAAATACTGAGAGGAATTATTATTAAAAAATTTTCTTCATAAAGAAACTAAAATGAAATTGAAAACATAAACACAGTATTAAAAAGCTTTAAAAAACATAAATTAAAAAAATCAATTTTATAAGTAACCAAGCAAACAGGAAAAAAAACACTCTTTCAATTTTTCTTTTTAAAAGCATACAAACATATTAAAAATTTATGTAATTGATTATTATTATTATTTTAAATATTTCAGAAATTGTTTAACATTTATTTTTAAAATAATTTTTAGTTCATATATTATATCAAAATTCCACATATTTTGAAGAGATTTTTATTTAGAAAAAACAGCCATTAAAAAAGGATACTGACTAAAGGATGTGACTAATTAATGTAAATCAAATTTTTAAGTTTCGACAACAAAAAAAATAGACAGAACCAAAAAAATTGTGAAAAAATAGTTTTCAGATAAGTTCACGTAAGCATATGAAGATATTTAAAAAATTATACATATAAATTAAGAAGTAAACAAAAAAAAAAACTTTCGATAATAGATTAAAATAGAATGAAGAATGAATAGTCTCATGGCGTTTACACGTGTTTCGACCTCAGAAGAATAATTCTAGTTTTCTCTGCAGTAGCGATATTTGAAATAAATCAAATTTAAGAAAAATATGTTCAAATAATAAAATTCTTCGGTTCTTTATTTTGAAATTTATACTTATTAATTTTTCAAAACATTATAACCATAAAGATATGCTTAAATAATTATTAGATATTTAGTAAAATAGTTAGTAAAAATAATGACAGCAAATTATTTTATTTACTTTTCTGAATTAGTTAAAGATAAATTAAATTCAACATAATAACGATTCAAAATATTACTGCACAATTTTTATAGAGTAATTAAAATACCTACCCGTAATAATTCTATTAAATATTTCTATTTCTACATACAAAAACGGAATTTTGCAAAACAATTAAGCAAAATAATGATGAAATTAAATGAATTCATTTAAAATAAAACTAATATAAAATAATTATGAACTTGAAGTATTTATAAATGATGTAATAAGACTTAATAAAAATATATAATTATTTCAACATCTAAAATTATAAAGCAATACAATTAATTACGTACAAAATTCAATTATTATTTAAAGTGAATTCGAAATATATTTTGTATTTTAAAAATAGCTTTTATTAAACAATACAGCAAAAATAACAAAGAAAAAATTTACTTAAGCTAGCGAAAATTAGCACAAAAAATTACTATAAATATAAAATATAATCGCATTAAATAGTTTTAGCAGCGAAATAATAAAATAAATGAAAGATTAATAACAATTTATAATAAAATTAGTAATGAATCATTAATATAAAACTTCTCCATATCAATAAACGAGATATAATAACTAAGCAGTAATGTAAATAATATGTCTATGTTAATATTATATTAAAATATTACGCTGTAATTGAATCAGTTATAGTAGTTTATGTGTGTGTGTAAAGAGGAAAGCAAATAAACGTCTAGAAAATATTAATAAAAATATTTATAGAATTTATATAAAAATAAGAAGACTGGCTATCAAATTTTTTTTAAGCATCTTAACAATATTAAATTTACTGCAGTGAAAGTTTGCCATTCATTAGTTTAAGAAGCCGGTTAAAATGGAAGAATCAATTCAATAAATAAATAAATAATCACACAGCACGTGACTCGCCTCCGTAAGAGGAAGTTGTGAATTTTCTTGTTTTTCCCCCAGCACCGGTGGCGGTTAGATTTAAAATTTATCCTTTTAAGTAGGAAAATTAACCGAAATGTCTGGGAATGACATGCAATCGAGATTAATTTTAACTATTCTTATAAATTTTTTTCAGTTAATGGTGGTTACATTTGGCTAAGTGTACACACCAAGAAAAATTTTTTCACAATCCTTTATTTAAGTCAAAAATAAACAAACATTCAAGCAAAATTATCATTCTAAACTTATATAAAATTAACTAACTATTTAACCAAGGTCACGAGGATCGACACTAATTACTTAGGCGGTATTGCATTGCATTTAATTAACAAACTTAACATTTCTAGATATTTTATATCATTAACAAATTATTTTAAAGATTTATTAAACATCAAACAGTGATATATATGTTTCAATTTTAACTTAAATTATACACAAAATATTGGGGGGAAAACTCTCCAGAATTTTAATTAACGCTTAAATAGATTATTTTTTTTAACATTTATTGAAGAGAATCTCGCTTAAAATTCAAACTGAATAGAGCAAGAGCAGTATATCAGAAAAAAATTGCAGTTTCTTTTCATCTCTCTGTAGCAAAATGATACAAATTACGTACAATTTTTTAAAAAAAATCTCAGCAATATTTATGCCGCATGGATCAAGATAAAACAAATTACATTTAATCTGTGCGAAGCATAAGAATCAAATCTACATTCTAAATATTCCAAAAAGATCCTACATAACATCTAATCCGTAATGAGCAAAAAGTATGAAACTCCATTCTATATGTTCGAATAAATTACGAATAAAATTTAATCTTTATGAATGAAAGGCGATTCAAATTGGTTTCGATTTGTCTGTATGAATCGGAATAATCCAAATTAAATTGAATCTGTTTCAATCATTGATATCACCATGAGGATCAAACTAATTTTATCGAAATTCTTCCAGCATCTATGGATTATGGGTGATCTAAATTACATCCTTTCTCATTCAAGAGAACCCCTTTTAGAGATATCACTGAATGATCAAATGAAATTCACGAAGTATACTTTCGATTCGATGGCAAAGTATTAGAGCAAAATGCAACTCTTTTTGTAATAAAAATGCCTTGCCGCGATGATTGAATTATGTGGATATTTTAACCGGTAACAATCATTTCTACATCTTTGCATTCAGATTTAAAGAAAGATACACAATATTAAATCAAAGAAACCAGTTAATGAGCCTATCAAGTTATATTTCCAAAAGAACTATAGCCTATGATTATTTTACTCGAAAGATTACAAATAGAATAAATGAACAGCAATATTTTCTTGATTAGAATAACAGAAAAAGGTCTGTTTATTGAGCAGGTGCAGAGGATGAAAGATATTCGCGTGAAATATGTTAATTATGTTATTAAGCGCTGCGTAAAATTCTCCTTCATGAAGCAGAATTATCGGAATCCAATCATCTTTTGGAAAGCTTCATTACTGTATGAATTAAAGTTAGCGTGAACACTTAGTTTTCAAGAGAGGATGCGGGAGCTCTGGTGCGCGCGCCAACCTCCCCCGCTCTTGCACTTTCAGTTAGCCGGTGAACTCTTGTAGGTACTCTTAAAAATAGGGGGGATTAAAAGAGGTTCATTACCTGCTGCCATCGGTCCTCAAGTGATAGCTGTGCGTTATAATACCCTGTTTCATGGACGGACTGCAATTCACTGAAAATGCTGTGTCGAGGATAGAAATCCATAGTAGATTAGCAGCGTCCGCTCATCGCGTACTAAACACTTATGAGGCAGTGATCAGAAATTCGTTGAAACGCTGCCGCTCAGTGGAATGATGGTAGGGTTGCCATTTTCTGATCATCGCCAACAAAGAACGCCAAAAATTTCAAAAGTGGCGCCGCATCGTCTAGTCTCATCCGAGCTCTCTTTTTTTTTTCTCCCCTCTCCTTTTCTATTTTCCAAAAGGAGATTTTTTTTTTTGTTACTTAGTTTTCTCTTCGCTTTTTTTTCTCTCCCTACTTTTAAACAAATGCATTTTATTTCAGATTCTTGACTAGCTATGAAACTTTAAACAATTGTTTATCGTTGTTGTTTTTATCTTATAAATTTACTGAAAACTAATTTCGATCAAGGAGATATTTCTAAAAAAGTATTTATTTATTTATGATTTTTTTTTTTTTTTTTTTTTTTTTTTTTTTTTTTTTTTNTTTTTTTTTGTTTTTTTTTTTTTTTTTTTTTTTTTTTTTTTAATAAATGTAATATAAATTCTTTGTTTTCTCTGTAATTATAGTTTATTTACGTTCTAAGAAAAATTCTTCGGACAAATGCTTTTTTTTTTTTTTCGTTGAACAAGAAATTTAACTTAATATTTACGGGCATCGGAAAGCTTTCTAAAGATTATTGAACAGTAGTAAAAATACAATGAGAAAACAGAACCAGACTCGGGCTCTTAGTCTGATAAGTTGAAAATATTGTAATGTGTCTGAAATAATATGTGTGCAGGCTTTATAATAATAAGTTTTCATTATCAATAAAGAAATTTAGTAATTTTACTTAATGCAAAAATTTTTTAATTGGAAGTTTCTTTATAATTTTGAAGTCATGAAAAGATGTAGAATGATAAGTTTTAACCATAATTATTGTGAATTTAAAAAAAAGGTCCTTTAATGCGAATTTCGTGTCATGAAGTTTAATGGTCTAGTGAGCTTTAAGAGCTCAAAATGAACTTCGAATGTCTTTCATATCGAACAACTTTCTTTCTAAAATGCTTTGTATAACTTCAAGATATTATTCCAGAAAGGTTTCAGATTCATGTATATTTATAAAAAAATTTCGAAAAACTTACTGATAATATTGGATGGCAATGTAATAGCATTCAGATAAATCTCAGCACCAAAAACTAGACAAGCATCCAAAAGTTATCCAGCTAAAAAATTACCAACTTCATTACCGAATCTTAATAAGGTTTATCGAATTAATCATTAAAATCATGACATGTTAATAGTATGTAAAGATGACATTGTTAATTTAGTCAGAAGCATAATAGGCAGTATTGAATTTTTTTATAAGTTTTAAAATGAAATTTGAAGAAATTACTACTCGTAAAGGCACTCGAGATATAAATAATTATCGAAAAAGCATTTAAATAAAAACCTACATTTTTAAATTTACTTGAAAAGTGTATATGTTTAAGAATTACAGATGGAAAAAAAATTGACCTTCAAAATACCACTCTTTTTCTCTCTTTTTCCTTTTCTTTTTTTTTTTTTTTTTTTGAAATAAGTTGATTATAACTTTTAAATTTTGTTCAACTTAGCATTCATTTTAACTATTCTCTACATAAATTAAAATTTTTTATCTGTCTGAATATATATATACATAAAAGACAACTGTCAATATACTTAGACAATATACTTAAAAGACAACTGTTTTAGAAATCTTTATGTATTAGATTATTTTTTTCTTTTCTTTTTAACTAATTATTATTATTGTTATTTTTTACTTCAAATTGTTATTTTTATTTGTATTACTTTGTTATTAACTGTAATATTTAATTATTATCTATATTATTTTGTTATTTTTACTCACAGATTTTTTTTTTTGTTGTTATTCCTTATTTTTGTCTTAAGTGCTTTTCGAATAGAATTTGTTTTATTTATTTTATTTCAAAATCTGATTTTGTAAAGAAGTTTTTTTTTTCCTTTAAAGTATTCTTTTCAAATTGAATTATTTCGGCATTTTATATTTAAAGNTTTTTTTTTTTTTTTTTTTTTTTTTTTTTTTTTTTTTTTTTTTTTTTTTTTTTTTGAAATAAGTGATTATAACTTTCAAATTTTGTTCAACTTAGCATTCATTTTAACTATTCTCTACATAAATTAAAAATTTTTATCTGTCTGAATATACAAGATATACTTAGACAATATACTTAAAAGACAACTGTTTTAGAAATCTTTATGTACTAGATTATTTTTTTCTTTTCTTTTTAACTAATTATTGTTATTGTTATTTTTTACTTCAAATTGTTATTTTTATTTGTATTACTTTGTTATTAACTGTAATATTTAATTATTATCTATATTACTTTATTATTTTTACGTATAGATTTTTGTTGTTGTTATTCCTTATTTTTGTCTTAAGTGCTTTTCGACTAGAATTTTTTTTATTTATTTTATTTCAAAATCTGATTTTGTAAAGGAGCTTTTTTTTCCTATAAAGTATTCTTTTTAAATTGAATTATTTCGGCATTTTATCTTTAAAGTGTTATTTTCAATTGAATTATTAGTTATTTTTAAACTTTAAGCTATTGTTTTGTTTTGTTTTAAAATTATTTGTTATTTTTTTTTACTTAATCGATTTCTTAGAGAATAGAACAATTCATTACTCTTGCAAAAGAAAGTGCTATTTTTTAACAAAGTACGAATCAAGATACACTTTGAGATATCAAAAATTCCGCAGCATTATTTTGCAGTTTCTGGAAATTTTGAAAGCTAATTTCAACATAAATCATATCGAAAATGGGAAAATAGATTTTCCCTATACTTTAATGGAAGAAAATGATGGGAAACAAGCCTGTACAGTATTTCATTGTTTATTTTGAGAATATACAGCATTCCTTTAATGCTTACATTTATGTGCAAGGTATTTGGAATCATAAAATGCACAGATAAGAAATTTTTATTCGTTTGTTTTGATTCACAAAAGGCAATTACGATCTGAAGGTTAAATCAGAAAATTGTATGTTTTTTCCCCCTCAGAAGATGTTTAAAAAAAACGCAAAAAATAAGAAAACGTTTCTAAGTGATTTAAAGTACTCAAAGTGTCAAAACTAACTACAAAGTAAGTCAATTTTTTTTTTAAAAAAAATCGAATTTACTACTTAGTAGCAGAAACCCTCCAAAATGGCACCGGGTGCTGCAGAATATTTTTATCTGCAGGTCTGCAGATCCAGGCAATTGCAGATTATTTTTATCCAACTTTCTTTATATTTTTAAGAAGCAAGCAAACAAGTAGGTTAAAATTGTTGAGACTCCTTTTTTAAAACATCCCTAAACATACTTGATAAAAAACTTCATCCGCTTCAAAAATATATGAATTGGAAATTCACAATCAACGTGTTTCAAGCGCTCAAAGACAGGCGCCTATTTTCAAGACTTGCCAGGCGTTAATGAGAAGAAGTAAAAGTGTTTTTTAAACAATTTACATTTCAAATCCTTTTTGTTTCTTTCTCCTTCACGCCTGGCAAATCTTGAAAATGGGCTCCTGTTTTTGAGAGATTCAAACATGTTGACTGCTAATTTCCAATTCGTATATTTTTGAAGCGATTGAAGTTTTTATTTAAGTTATATCTTACCGCTTCAGTTTCTTGGGATTTTTTATTTAATCTCTAAACTTTTTTCGAATCAAAATTGAAATGAATTTAAAGGACATCACAGAGAATGAAAAGTAAAGATGCTTTTTTTCTTCTGTTACTTTGTCACAGGTTTAACTGTGTAAGGATTTTATGCATTTTTTTCAGTATCATAACATACAATTAAACTTAAATTTAAACAACATGAAGTTTTCGTGTAAAGTTTTTACGGACCTTATATTTGCAGATTTTACTAAATGTTTGGTAGTTTTTGATTTTGTACTGTAATAATCTCTGTATGACGGCGTTAGGGTCGCAGGCAAATTTGAATTTATGAAGATGCATTCAAGTTTTTTTATTTTTAAAATTTTATTTTTATTTATTTATTTTTTTAATAAATTTCAACAATTTTTCGTAGAACCATAGGCAAATAATAAATAGTAACATGGTGTATCAAAATCAGGGTTTATTTAATTGCTTCCTTTCTTAATTCTTTACTTGTTATAAGATAAACAGTCTAAATTGCTTGTCTTTTTATACTATTGTTACTACAATTGCTTAAATAGACTGGCAGAATTAAATGAGTTGAACGTTCCATCTGTTCATTTTACCCCTTTTGTTGTACTAATTTCCTTGAACTTACATAACCATAAAGCAAATTTTTTTCTTTTTTCTCAGAATATATTTTAAAGAATGACGAAACACTATGACATGACGTTGCGAAATGATTTAACGACAATTTAAAAATTTACTTATAAGTAAAAACAACAAGATAATTTTTTATTCTTCCACAATGCTCACCTGGGTTTCCACCGTCAATTCAGGCGTATTAGGGCAGATTTGTCGGTTACTCTTTCAGGGGCACCATATTAGGTGGGTAAACATTGCTTCCACGGTAAGGACAGATAGTACAGAGAATGAAAGAACATCCATGCCTTGCCCGGTATTCGAACCCAGAACCTTTATGACGCAAAACCAGTTACTTGATCCCTCAACAGGTCAGACGCGGCAAATCCGAAAATTATAGTGCATTCAATTTTCTCATTAAACATTTTATTTCATTTTTCTTGATAAATTAGGACTATTTTTCTTAGAACATAGGTAAATAATAAATATTAACATGGTGAATCAAAAACAGGATTTATTTATTTACTTCTATTTCTTTCATTCTTTACTTGCTATAGGATAAACAGAGAATTTCCCAGTTTTTGTTACGACCAGGGTTTAAAAAGACTGGCAGAATTAAATGATTTGAACGTTCTTCTCATTTTACCCCTTTTGTAGTGTAATTTTCTTGAACTTATGTGACCTTAAAGTAAAATCTCAAAATGAAAACATGATTGCAATCTTGCTGTAGGACAAATGTTTAGAAGCCGTTGTCGGAGAATAATTAACATGTTTTCAGCTCTTAA